TGGCATCTAATAGGCATCTCAAACTTAGCATGTGTAAAATTGAGCTAATGAAACCCCCCCCCCGACACACACACACACACACACACACACACACATACACACACACACACTCAGTCTTCTCCATTTCAGGAAAAGGTGGCTCCTACCTTCCAAGTGCCAGACTACACAACCATGGCATCATCCTTGACTCCTTTTATTTTTCTTTTCTCTTCCACTTCATTAATAATCCTCAGAGAATCCTGTCAGCTCTACCTTCAAACTATATACAAAAACCAACCACCTCTTCCCATTTCTCCTGCTACCATTCTGTTCCAAGCCATCATCATCTCTTGTATGAATTATTCAGTAACTTCCTAACTGATGTCCATAACTTTCCCAAAATAACAGCCAGACAGTACCTTTAAAATGTAGGTTAGATCATAACTCCCACAGCTGTCTTCTTACTCAGAGCAGAAATCTAGAATACTTAGGATTTCTCTTGAGGAGAGAAACCAAGATGGCGGCATAGGTTAACGCCGGAGATTGCTGCCTCGAACAACCACTTCAAAAAACAACTAAAAGACGGAACGGACATCATCCAGTACCACAGGAAGGCTGGCTGAGTGGAAATTCTACAACTAGGAGGAAAGAGAATATCATACCCAGACTCAGAGGAGGCGCAGTGCTGAAGTGAAATACTAAGGTGCAGAGTGCACGCGGAGCGGGTTGGAGGCGGAGGGCACGGTTGCTGTTTTCAATCAGGAGGGAGTTTCAAACTCTGAGCTCCAGATCCGGGCGAATCTCTAGGGACCCAGACTCAAACGGGAGAAGCGGGACTGTCTGGCTTCGGTCGGAACTCGAAGGCAGCTTTCTCTCCGAGGTTTGCAGCGGTTGCTGGGACTCTGTGAGGCAGAGCCCCTAGGGACGGAACTGAGAGCAGCCATAACTACTCGCTCCGGCCCGCCCTGTAGATCCCCGGGGACCCGCCCCACCCAAGCCCTGCGCAGAGCCATTTGCCGGATAGCCCCAGGCAAATGCTAGATTAGCACCGCCCTAGAGATCCAGCACAGAAGCTCTCCCACTGCAGACACAGCAGACCCTCATAGCCAGTTAGCCTGGAGGTCAAATCACCCCCGGTATTGCCGACAACAATCAAGGCTTAACTGCAACAAGACTGCGCACAAAGACCACTAGGGGGTGTACCAAGAAAGCATAAAAAATGTGGAGACAAAAAAACAGGACAAAACTGTCAATGGAGGAGACTGAGTTCAGAACCACACTTTTAAGGTCTCTTAAGAACTGTCTAGAAGCCACCGATAAATGTAGTGAGATCCTCAAGAAAACTAATGAGACCCTCGATGTTATGATAAAGAACCAACAAGAAATTAAGCATACACGGACTGAAATAACGAATACTATACAGACTCCCAACAGCAGACCAGAGGAGCGCAAGAATCAAGGCAAAGATTTGAAATGGGAAGAAGCAAAAATCACCCAACCAGAAAAGCAAAATGAAAAAAGAATCCGAAAATACGAAGATAGTGTAAGGAGCCTCTGGGACAGCTTCAAGCGTACCAACATCAGAATTATAGGGGTGCCAGAAGATGAGAGAGCAAGATATTGAAAACCTATTTGAAGAAATAATGACAGAAAACTTCCCCCACCTGGTGAAAGAAATAGACTTACAGGTCCAGGAAGCGCAGAGAACCCCAAACAAAAGGAATCCAAAGAGGACCACACCAAGACACATCATAATTAAAATGCCAAGAGCAAAAGACAAAGAGAGAATCTTGATAGCCACTTGGCCTGGAGGTCAAACCCTCCCTGGTATTAGCTACAACAATCAAGGTTTAACTACAAGACTGCGCACTAAGACCACTAGGGGGTGCACCAAGGAAGCATAACAAAATGCGGAGACAAAGAAACAGGACAAAATTGTCAATGGAAGATATAGAGTTCAGAACCACACTTTTAAGGTCTCTCAAGAACTGTTTAGAAGCCGCCGATAAACTAAATGAGATCTTCAAGAAAACTAATGAGACCCTCGATGCTATATTGGGGAACCAACTAGAAATTAAGCATACACGGACTGAAATAACGAATATTATACAGACTCCCAACAGCAGACCAGAGGAGCGCAAGAATCAAGGCAATGATTTGAAATGCGAGGAAGCAAAAAACACCCAACCGGAAAAGCAAAATGAAAAAAGAATCCAAAAATGCGAGGATAGTGTAAGGAGCCTCTGGGACAGCTTCAAGTGTACCAACATCAGAATTATAGGGGTGCCAGAAGATGAGAGAGAGCAAGATATTGAAAACCTATTTGAAGAAATAATGACAGAAAACTTCCCCCACCTGGTGAAAGAAATGGACTTACAGGTCCAAGAAGCGAGGAGAACCCCAAACAAAAGGAATCCAAAGAGGACCACACCAAGACACATCATAATTAAAATGCCAAGAGCAAAAGATAAAGAGAGAATCTTAAAAACAGCAAGAGAAAGAAACTCAGTTACCTACAAGGGAATACCCATATGACTGTCAGCTGATTTCTCAACAGAAACTTTGCAGGCCAGAAGGGAGTGGCAAGAAATATTCAAAGTGATGAATACCAAGAACCTACAACCAAGATTACTTTATCCAGCAAAGCTATCATTCAGAACTGAAGGTCAGATAAAGAGCTTCACAGATAAGGAAAAGCTAAAGGAGTTCATCACCACCAAACCAGGATTATATGAAATGCTGAAAAGTATCCTTTAAGAAGAGGAAGAGGAAGAAAAAGGTAAAGATACAAATTATGAACAACAAATATGCATCTATCAACAAGTGAATCTAAGAATCAAGTGAATAAATAATCTGATGAACAGAATGAACTGGTGATTATAATAGAATCAGGGACATAGAAAGGGAATGGACTGACTATTCTTGGGGGGGAAAGGGGTGTGAGAGATGGGGGAAGAGACTGGACAAAAATCGTGCACCTATGGATGAGGACAGTGGGTGGGGAGTGAGGGCGGAGGGTGGGGCGGGAACTGGGAGGAGGGGAGTTATGGGGGGGAAAAAAGAGGAACAAATGTAATAATCTGAACAATAAAGATTTAATTAAAAAAAAAAAGAGAGAGAGAATCTTAAAAGCAGCAAGAGAAAGAAACTCAGTTACCTACAAGGGCATACCCATACGACTGTCAGCTGATTTCTCAACAGAAACTTTGCAGGCCAGAAGGGAATGGCAAGAAATATTCAAAGTGATGAATACCAAGAACCTACAACCAAGATTACTTTACCCAGCAAAGCTATCATTCAGAATTGAAGGTCAGATAAAGAGCTTCACAGATAAGGAAAAGCTAAAGGAGTTCATCACCACCAAACCAGGATTATATGAAATGCTGAAAGGTATCCTTTAAGAAGAGGAAGAAGAAGAAAAAGGTAAAGATACAAATTATGAACAACAAATGCATCTATCAACAAGTGAATCTAAGAATCAAGTGAATAAATAATCTGGTGATCATAATAGAATCAGAGACATAGAAAGGGAATGGACTGACTATTCTTGGGGGGGAAAGGGGTGTGGGTGATTCGGGAAGAGACTGGACAAAAATCGTGCACCTATGGATGAGGACAGTGGGTGGGGAGTGAGGGCGGAGGGTGGGGCGGGAACTGGGAGGAGGGGAGTTATGAGGGGAAAAAAGAGGAACAAATGTAATAATCTGAACAATAAAGATTTAATTAAAAAAAAAAGAAATCTAGAATACTTCAAACTTCCTACAAGGACCCTATTACTACCTGTCCAACTTTATCTCCTTCTGTTCTTTTTCTTGCTCACGCAGTTGCAGCCCTGTGGCTTCTCCCCTATTGCTTAGCCATACTAATTCCACTCCCACCACAGGGCCATTGTATTTGCTCTTCCTCTGCCAGGAATGCTTTTCTATCAGATGACATCATAGCTTGGAGATCATTTCCTCACTTCTGTCAGGTCTTTACTGAAATATCATCTTATGCTTAAAGCTCTCCCTGGCCATGTGGAGAACTTCCCCCCTCAAAAAGAGGCCTATTGCTCTTCCCTGCTTTATTTTTCACCTTAGCACCTGTACTTCATATATTTTATGTATTTGTGCTGTATATTCTCTGAAACCTCCAATAAATTCTAAGCCCAGTGAAATCTGGATTTTGTTTTTTATTCATTGCTGTGTTCCTAGTGAGTAGAATAGTGTCTGTCACATAATAAAAGGTTTTGAGTGAATGAATGAGCAAATGTGAGGGTGAATAAATATAAGAGTTACAAGACAGACCCAATCCTTGACCTCATGAAGCTGACAATCTCTGCATTAGTGAATGGAGTCCAGTTTATGAAATTCTGATGGAAAAAAAGAAGTGAGAGAGAGAGAAAAAAAAAATCCAAAAAAGGCGGACACCAAAACTTCATGGGTTGCCTATATATAGAAGTGGGTCCAGTGAAGGAAAGCTGAGCCTCTGTTAAAAAAGAAAAAGAGGGAAATGAGAATAATGCAAATATTGGAAGCAGAGAGAAAGAAGGTTCAAGCAGCACGAGGACTATAAGTAGATGCTAACAGGAATAATCATCATCTCTATTAATAGTTAATATAAATCAAGATCCATGCAGAAATTTTTCCAGTTCCAAAATTGGCTTCAGAAGGATGCAAAGCTAGAGGTATGCAGTGAGACAAGGCTGCTTATTGTGCACAATCCACAGGATGTAGGCACTTAAAAGGAATAATGCCTTTCTGTAAATGACAGTAGGAAACGAAAGAATAACCTGGTAACAATTTGACATTAGAAGCTTTGCTAAAGTTAAAGAGGCTATAGTAGAGGAGCATTGTGGAGCAATCCTTTTTCGCTTGATTCGAAAGCCCTCAACCTGTGTCCCGTTAAGGTCAGCATTTATTCTGTGGGCAACAGCCCATGGTCATGGCAGGTCTGAGACACCCATTGGTGGTTCTCATATCTTTGGTTTGACTTTAACTGGTTTGTTGAAAATTAAGTGTTTTTCTGTTTTGAATCCACAGGTTCCATTTTTTGGGCCTCTGTTTGATGGAGCCATAGTGAGTGGGAAGCTACTGCCAAGCCTCATATGTGCCACGTGCATCAATGCCAGCAGGGCCGTGAAGTGCCTCATCCCACTCTACCAGAGCTTGTATCTTTTTGCTTTAAATATGCAACTTATTAACTACCCCAGAACCCAGAATCCTGGCAGTTTTTCATCAGAGGTAAGTATTAACAACTGGGCTGAAGAGGGAAAACGGTTTTCAATTTTTGTTGCAATAACATAATATCATTTGTTAATTTTTATTAACTATAACAATTCCATGTTGCATTAAACTTAGAGGTTTGTTTTTTTTTTCATAATTTAGTCACATAAGTTTGCACTGAGAAGCTGTGACTAAAGAGATGTCCATATATATGTTCTCGGGTGTTTCCTCAAGTTCAATCTCCTCCTGCATCCACCCCCATTTGTTGCAGTCCGTTGTGAGGTCACTCAGAAGGCCTACCAGAAACCAACAGCAAATGAAATGACTCTAATAAATCAAAGAGTGTGGCAAGTGCCACCAGAGAGTACAAACAGCAGTCGAGGAGGAGGTCAGAGGCAAGAGAAGTCGCATCCGGTTGGGAGGACAGGAAAAGGTGTCCTTAAGCAAGGTGCATTTGAACTCATCAGTAGGAATGGCTAGAAATTCTTTTGTAATTTTCCCAAATCATTACCGTCACTTCTCTAATTCTTGATCTTCTCTAAAAACAGAAGAAATTTCACTTTTGTAATTTTTATCAAACGTTAATTGGCATGCTACCGCTTTAAAATCCAGGCATGATCTCTGATTATAAGAAAAAGAAATTAAGGTGACGTCATAAAATTGTTTTAAAAGGCATCTAATCTCCTAATAAACCTTTGTTTCTAACTGGTATTGATAATGATTATAAACATATTGCATTTGACCTGGTTCTCTCTACTTCTCCCAACCTAACCATAAGTGATATGTCACTGGAGGTTGGAGGTGAGGGGTGAGTGAGAAATACCATGTGTGAATAGATACAATTTATGAAAAATACCTTACTTTAAAACCCTGGTCACTTCATTGACTGATATTCTGTTTTTAGATTAAAAAAAAATACATATGCCATGTGGCAACTTGGAATTATCATAGAAATTAGAAGTAGAAAAGAGCTATTAGGTCCCATCTGGTCCCTCCCCAGGGGCCAGGATAGCATTATTCCCTTCAGCATGCTCCCTGATGCTTTGTTCAGGCTGGCGGTGCATGTTTGGGAGATGGCATTCTTTGCGGTGATTTCAACAGCACTCTAGACTTAATCTCGTGGCTGGTATAGATTCAGCCTACAGCATGGAGTTTTTATTTCACGTGCCATTGAAAAGAGGTCTTGGCAGAAATGAGAAAGCCGTGTTCTGCAATTGGTTTGTCAGTTTGCATGTCAACTAGGATGCGTGGGACACTCATCCATCAAATATGTTGAATCAAGGCAAGAAAATTATTTGCAAACAAAAATTCCGTTTTGGATATAAGTCCATTTTGGCTTTTGTCACGTCACCTCCACCCATCTAACTTCTCATTATAAAATACATGCTTGGTTATTTTGTTGAACATTGCAGATGAGGTTCTTGCCCTGTGCTTTACAGGAAAGACAAAGAAGCTCATGAAGTTCTGTAAAACAGCTAAATGGGAGGAAGGTGAATGTGGGGGAAAGTCCTCATCGGAGAGAACGTGTACACTGAGGTTAGAGGGATGAGAGAGAAGCTGTGCCCAGGCAGCAGGGAAGCATTTTGGCAGAGGACACTTAGCAAGTACAAGGTCAGAGTGTTTTCAAGTGGTAAATTTATGGGGTTTTTTTTAGGATTTTCTGCATGGTCAAGTCCATCAGGGTGCTTGTGACACATGTAAGAGCATGTTTTCAGCAGAGATGGTTTTCTGGGTGGTACCTGAGGAAGCCGAGCTTCCATAACCCTTTAATCTCATGGCCTGCCTTGCAAGTTCTGTTCTGAGTACAGCATCCAGGCTGCCTGAGCCAGGGCCTCAGGTAGAGGGGAAGTGTAGGGGCCAGACACATAATCACGAGGGTAAACAACCAATGCTCTCCACTGTATTTATTGTGTCCGATGATTTGCCCAACGATGATGTTCAGTGGGCTAGGTGTATTAAATGCATTTTCAACTTACGATGGGTTTAAATTCCATTGTAAATCGAGGAACATCTGTACATGGAAGTAACACACTAAGGCTACATAGGGTTCCTTGGATATTCATGTGAAGTAAGACACCCTTATTTTTTTTCTGCATTCAAAGCAAGATCTGGTTCCGATGGAGAGTGTGGCCTCTCCGTGTAGGCAGGTCTCTGCTTACTCAGCCATAGACCATACCACACTTCCCAGGTGCTTTCTTTGGGTCATTCCAAGGTCACTCCAAACTCCAGGCATAACTGGTATCCTGTGCTCATAGGGCGAGTGGCAAGGAGCCAGCAGACCACATACTATGTGTGTCTCCTCTGCCCATGTGTATGCTCCATTGTCTCATCAGACTTAAAGTGCAGAACACAAAACCAAAGGAGAAATTGTTAAGAATTTCCAGGTGGCATCAGCAGAACATTAAACCAAGCAGGGCTTGTCATAAGCAGCTGCTCAGTCACAGGCCCATGAAGCCCTGTCTGGAGCCCATTCTGAACAGCCCCTTACCCACCACCACCCAGTGTAAGTCGGAGAACTCTGGACCTGGAGTTTATTAGATTTTATTCTCCTTCCTAAAGCTGACAGTATATCCCTTGGAAAAACTGTATTGATTTATGAACTAAGACCCTTTAAGGAATGAAGCAGCTTGTGTGCATGGCCCTAGAAGACACAGTTCATTTAAGAGAGCAAAAATCTGAGAAAGAGTTACTATTACAGTTTCCCTAGAATTAGGTATAGGAGTGGGTATCGGCAAAGAAAGGGGCATTTCTTTGTCAACACAGGCCATTTATATGGACACTGCTGTGTTCTCGTTTTGTTTCTGATATTTAGATTGCAGTTGTTAAGTAGAACATTGCCAAACTGCTCATTTCATCAAAATGTCATTCGCTTTCTAGGTATCCATCCAGATGACTGTTTTATGAGCGAAGGGCATGCTGTGTAGCTCAGATGTTCTGTAACTCCTTTGTACTGACCATGGAGAGCTAAACATTGAACCTGTTAGTGAAGAGGCAGTGGTGTGAGTTTGCAGTAGCTGTTTGTTTCCAGCTAATGATGATGCTTAACTGCCTTGAATAGTGGCGGTTGACATTCAGTCTTACATTTAACTAGAAGTAGAAATGTGGGCAGTTCCATATCAATTTTGTTCAGTAATATTCAAGAAAATACAGCATTTCTTATTAAGCAGAGGACTGGGAGCATTGTTGGGATGGATATGCCTTTGTTTTTTGTAAATCTTAGGATCTTTTTGAGCAGTAAATCCAGCTTAGAACCTTTATCAAAGGAGTTCTTATTTGATGTACCCTTGGCTAAATGATAAAAAAATTAGAACAGTGTGGTGAAGGCTCATAGGAAACTGCGAAATACCATTGACTTACATGATCTAAAAATATTAACACAGTTGGAAAGTAGCCTTAGTCACAGTTCAGCCTAGTCCCTTTGTTCCTTCTGGGTTTTCTGGTAACTTCCTTGGCGGGCTAAATCCAATCTGTCCGGTGGAGCCTTCGTCCTGTGGCCACTGCTCTTCTGAGTGATGAGGGCCAACTCACCTGCCATCTGCTTTTCTATCCCTTGTGGGCAATCAGAGGGCCCGTGCCTGTGCCTCAGAGTGTTGTAAATGGGAAGCTTGCCACATGTCATGTTTACAGTTCCCAAGCCAACTAAAGCTTCCAAAACCAAGCCATGGTCAGTTGATAAAAGTTTCCAAAAGCATTTGAGCCAGAGCTTTCATTCTCCTCCTCAGATAACTTATTTCAGGAAAAAGATTGCACACAATATGCATTGTGCCCATTCGGAGGAGTTCACCCTGAATCAGACAGATGGTGGCTTTTTAAAATAAACGTCCACTTCAACAGAACAATAGCCTCAATGGCACTTGCCATCTCTCCTCTCTGGAATGTCAGCATTTGACTGAGAGAACGGGGCTGCCTAAGAAAAAGTAATTTTGTACCTCATTCTTTCACATTCACATTTAGTTTCCTTTGCAATTAGTAGATATATTTGATAATACCAGAACTTTTCTCTTATACTCATGACTTCTTAATATTGGTAAGTTTTGTTTCACTGTATACACCTTCAAAAATGGCCCTTCTCTCCTGTTTCTTTTATCTCCAGTGGGATCTTTGTTCTTCTTTCTGAGAAAAACTTTAATTTCCTCCATTTGTCTTCATATACTTAAGAGAGGTGTATGAAAATGAGGCAAGTGGTACTCAGTGGTGTATTTTGCCATGCAGAACCAGTTATGCCTTTGCTAACATTTCCTATGTCCCTTCCATGTTCTAGGCATTAGGCATAGATGCTTCATACAGCAGAGTGTGGAAGACACACACACACACACACACACACACACACACACACACACACACGATGGACAGGACGAAGGCACTGCAGGGGCACTGGAAGGAGTTCAAAGAGTAAGTGAGGGCCTTTCTCGGGCAGTGGCAGGGAGATGGATTGGATGCCTACATAAAGCAGGTAGACTAACTCAGTGTGGACCAGCTAGATTTGCTGCGGGGCAGAGGGTGATGATGAGAAGAGGATCAAGGACTTTGTGTAGCATCACACTGGAAGAGTAGGTTTGGGAGGGGGTGGTGAAGAGAGAGAAGGTGGAGGAAAAGGAGAAATAGCTTCTCAGAAAAGCAAGGAGGAAATGAAGCTTTACCTTCAGCAGAGTCAAGCAAGACATAGGTTTGGGGGAGGGGGGGAGGGGAGGTCAGACCCATGGCCTCTTCTAGCAGCCTCAAGTCTTTACCTAGACTCTTTACCTAGGTCCTCAAACTATGGCCCGCAGGCCACATGCGGCCCGCCGAAAACATTTATCCGGCCCGCCGGGTGTTTTTGCCGCCGCTGCCTGTCCTGCTTAGCAGCCGACTCGTCCCGGGCCCGCAGTGAGCATGTGTGGAATGTCTGAGGGACAGTGAACTGGCCCCCTGTTTAAAAAGTTTGAGGACCTCTGATAGAGCATTG